ATTTATTATTTAAGTAAAATTTTCATTTCTCTGATTTTGTAAACTTTATTTATTTACTTACAATTTAAGAAGTTTAGGTTAGAATTCATTTTAATGAACTACAATTTTAATTACAACTTTAAAATATTTTCATTATTAGTTTTTATAGACTACATATTTCATTTAATAGAAGTAAATCTATTAGAATTACTTACATTAAGTAAAATTATTTTTCTATATCAAGTATATTTATATTACGATTTTTTAAAATTTTATATTTAAATACTATTTAAGTAAATTTTTTTTTAAGTAAATTCTTTTTTCCTCACTTACGGCAAAAATAGCTAATTCATTTCTCTGATTTAGTAAACTTTATTTATTTATTTTATTACAATTTAAAATTTAAAAGAAGTTAAAGTTAGAATTCATTTTAATTAACTACAATTTTTTTTATAGTCTTAATATGTGCTATATTTATGGGATAAAGTGCTCAATATCAGAGATAGAGCGTGTGTGAATATAAAAGTGAACATAGAGTGAACATGGTCAGAATTAAGAATATTATAAAAAAATGCATAACACCAGTTGACAATAACAAAATGAGATTAGATTATTTATTACAAAAATTTAAAAACTCTAACCTTATCGTTAAAAATAATAATTTACCGCTTAGAACAAAATTAAATAGGCCAAATATTGTTTACGAATTTAAATGCCCATTAAGGAATTGTATTCCTGATCAATCAAAATTCGTAAATAATTATATAGGCCACACTACAACATGTTTGACACGCAGACTCACTCTACACCTTTCTGACCATAGCTCAATTAGATCTCATTTAAATATTCATAGAGACCTACTAGACACTATTCGTAACATACTTGTCAACAACACAAATATAATAGCATCATCTACATGCAAAAAAAAACGGCTAAAAATAATGGAAGCCTTATTAATAAAAACAAAAAACCAACACTTAATAATATTAACTATGAACTTGGACACAATATCTTGACCGTCTTTTGAAAAAAAAAAAAAAACATTTTATAAAACACACTTGCAAAAAACTATTTCTTATTTAACAGTTAAAATATTTAATCCTTGAAAATGGCTAAATGTATAGCCGAAAGCGCTTGGGTAAAAGGAACATTCGGACAGGTTTTATATAAAAACATCTGAAAAGAAAAGAAATTATTAGATCGCATGAGAAATTGTATAAAACACTGAATAAAAGCACCTTGTCTGTCGTATTCAATGAAATGTGCATGAAAGAAGGATTGCTGCCTGAATACACACACACACACACACACACACACACACACACACACACACACATATATATATATATATATATATATATATATATATATATATCAACTTATATATGGGCCATATTTAAACTATATCAGATATTGCGGCGAATATTTAGTCTTGTTGACGTTATTCAAGTCAATTCCAAACTAAGAGGCAAAAATTTCGATAAGTATGTATATCCACACGCACCTCCTATCTCTCTCTTTCTCTCTATCACCTCCCACAAAAAGTGGAAGAAAGAGAGAGAGAGAGAGAAAATGTTTTCCTATATATTTGAACCGAATATCTTGTCTGTAACAACCAAATGACCACCGAGCCATCATTCAGGAATATGTTGCCATCATGACAAATTCTCTGCCGTGACATCTGCCTCTGGTTGACGGCTGAAGGAACTGTCGTCGGTAATCATGTGAAGATCAGTGTCAAAGGTTGTCGAGCAAGGGCAACACAAGTGGGTGACAAAGTAACGGATTTAAACTATGCCGGAAATTCGGTTGTTACTTGCTGGCTGAGAAATCATCATAGCTTTTTTATTCTCTTTGATAAAGCCTTATAGATTTACTATAGTAAGTGTAGTCTTTAATAATATTTATTTAAAGTAATTTTACCGGATTTACATTTCTATGATTTTCCGTACAAGATTCTGAAATTAGAGCACTTTCAATATATTTCCGCTTTAAATACTTTTATGCTTAATATTATATATATATATATATATTTATTCGAAAATTATAACATTATATAAATTATATATACCATATACATAATATATATAAATTACATATATATATATATATATATATATATATATATATATATATACAGTACCTTGTCAGTCGTTTTAATGCAAATTGTATGAAAAAAAATTGCTGCACAAATGCACAATTATATATATATATATATATATATATATATATATATATATATATATATATATATATATATATATATAGGAAAGTATTCGAAAATTATAATATAATAGTGATGGTGTTGAATGTAGAATAAAGGGTTTATTCTACATTCAACACCAACGTTTGATAATACACGATAAGTGTTAAAACAAAATGGCTATTTTTGTAGTGAATTTATAACACGTTTATGTTATAAGTTTAGAATAAATTATATTTACTCTACTCTGTATTGAGCACTCTTTTAAGAATATAATTTTAGTTATTGGAATTTATTGCGTATACACCAATCCTATACTTTTCATATATATATATATATATATATATATATATATAATTGTGCATTTGTGCAGCAGACTTTCTTTCATACAATTTACATTAAAACGACTGACAAAAATAATATATATATATATATATATATATATATATATATATATATATATATATATCATATTTGATATAAAAAAAAAAAACTTTACTGGTCTATTAAATAATTAGCACATAAGATCAATGAATTCAATTTAGTATAAAGATAACGAGAATGAGAACATTCGCAGTCAATTGCTGAAATCTCCTGGCGAGTGGACTGAACGATTACGAAATGGTTCGTCCACAGATTTCTGGAGCCGAGGTGCTTAATATAATATCAATCAACTAAGTGACAGATTTTATTTGTATTAATCTGATATATATATATATATATATATATATATATATATATATATATATATATATATATATATAAATGGTGGTACTCGCTTGGAAAAACCTTCGGTATTTCGGTTTGTAGTAGAACAAACCAGTACCCAAAGAAAAATGAGAAACGAAACAAGAAAAAAAACAAAGACCATGAAACTGAGGCAAAAACAATCGTCCAGAATTCAAGCTCAGAGTCCAAAGAAAAAACCTCCAAAACGAGTAAAATAACTACGTAAAGTGCTCAGTACACGAAGTAGAGCAAACCTAATATAAACCTAAAGAGCCAGGCAAACCTACTGGGTTTCACCTAAAACTGGACAGTTTTACCCTGACGATCCGTTTAGGGGAAACCTACGTAGGTTTACCCGGCTCTTTAGGGTTTATATATATATATATATATATATATATATATATATATATATATATGTATGAATATTTTATTGGTGGCACAAGACGTAATAACTGCCATAAGCAGACAAAATCTGTTTTTAATATTACCACACATGATAACAATTAAAAGAAAAGAAAATGAAAAACGAGGTAGCTAACCGGTTTCGAACCTCGCTCAACAGAGCTAAATCGAGATTAATAAATAGGTATAAATTATCAAAAATGAATGTTCTGAATCTTTCTTCTCAGTTGTCCATGCTAGAGTTTTCGATTCTCTCGCATGGATTGGATTTTTGCGGGAAGAAATTAATTCGGAGTTTGAAGTATTTTTGCCGTGTTAGTTAGACTTCAAAGTGAATCTGTTATCAGTTTTAGTGATCTTAAGGTGAAGTTAAATGACAGCGCATTGATATGCAGGCTCTCTTGATTCCATTTGTGAATTCTGTAAATTGTTCATTTTTCACAACTGTTGCTTTGAAATTCCTTCAGGTAACTTTCCTCCGGTGGACTGCAGTGACCTTGTCACCTATGAGGGTATTCAGCCAAATGAAGACGGTAAGTTGGCATTTTATATTTTATCCATTTTAATTTCTTATGGCCGACTCTTCTACGTCTAGATAATCAAATATGCCCCTGCATTTTATTTTAACCAACATAAAATAAAACGACGAATTTCTTTCATTAGGTTTGGTTTGATTTGTTTTACGGCATATCAACCTCAATGGGTTATTTAGTGAATAATTACGAACAATATCTATTTATAGTAAAATTGCCAATAATTATTTATAGTAAATATTTAATTGAAGCCATAAAATTGTGTTCAAAATATTTAGATTTCAGCATTAAAAAACCTATAGAGGTTGATATGTCGCTAAACAAATTCAACCGACGAACTAACGCTCATGAAACACTTTATATTATGTGAAGAGTTTATACTGCTTTTGTTCCAGATTAGCATAGTAGATAAACTCTCGCGAACAACATTTAGGCCGCCATGTTGTGTTTAATCGTTACTACTGTAGGTATACATCTGTGAAATTTATCTGCTAGTAAATGATGAGTGTATGTTTCTTGTCGCTAAAATGCTTACAGACTGTTGCTAGGTGGGGAAAAGACGATATAATGACCTGATTCAGGAAGACAGATAACGACATTGTACTTAAACAAGAAAGGCCAAGGGATATCAACATATGATAAGAGCGAGAGAAGAAACTATTAGAATAGAACTTACGGTTCCATCTAGATCTTTCAACAGTAAAACGATGTGGCATAATTGCCAGTCTAGTACTACGCTTAATTTCGTTCGGTCGAGGTAACAAAGAGAAAAGCGTATCAGAACAATTGTTATGGCACTGTTTATAGAAAAGATAGAATGAAGTCATGTTACGGTTGTGAAAAAGTGACTGAGGTCGAGATACCAAGTCAAGACAGATAACATTACAAGCCCTCCTTTGTATTTTCTCGAGAATGCTTTCGCTTTATTTTACATTAAATAGGTTAGGAAGGAAATCACTAGGAGTATTAGAAAGGGTGATAATAGCTAGTGAACTTGAGAAACCTATTTTGCTGAGAAATTGTTTTTCAGAGAAAGGTTTTAAAAATTGCAACCGAAAATAACATTAACTATTCGGTCAATGAATACCGAATGTTTTCTCATAAGGAAATGGTTAATATTTACTCTTTCAATGTTGCAACATTGACCGCTCGAAATGTTTTATTCCTTCTCGTCACATCAACTGCATCAATATACAATCTTTCCGCACATTTTATCCCTCCTATCAATAAACCCCAATTTTTTTGAGATCTATCTATCTATCTATCTATCTATCTATCTATCTATGCCTATTCCTAGCTATCTATCGATCTTTGCCTATTCCTATCTATCTATCTATCTATCTATCTATCTATCTATCTATCTATCTATCTATGTATGCCTATTCTATCTATCTATCTATCTATCTATCTATCTATCTATGCCTATTCCTAGCTATCTATCGATCTTTGCCTATTCCTATCTATCTATCTATCTATCTATCTATCTATCTATCTATGTGTGCCTATTCCTATCTATCTATCTATCTATCTATCTATCTATCTATCTATCTATCTATCTATATTTCCTAGCTATCTATCGATCTTTGCCTATTCCTATCTATCTATCTATCTATCTATCTATCTATCTATCTATCTATCTATGTGTGCTATCTATATATCTATCTATCTATCTATCTATCTATCTATCTATCTATCTATCTATCAGAACCAATTTTTATGCATCTATTTCTAATTATTCATGTAACATCTCTTCCTCTCCTTTTCTATACCAGATTTTAATTCTACATATACTAACTCTATATCAATCAACATAATCAAATAAATAGATCTTTTTTTATTATTTCATTATTTCGATGTTCAAACCGTTTTTTCTTTACTTTCATCTCAGGCAAATTTTTAATGCCATTTTCTGCTATCAACACGATTTCTTAAAATAATCTATAGGCCTGGACTCTTGGCTGAGTGGCTGAAGTAGTCGGTATTCACGCATAGATAAAAAAGATTTTCAAGGTTTGATTTATTTGAAGACTTGGCGCAACACAGTCTTTCTATCTATTTCACCTTTATCATAAAAAAAGACTAAATATCAGTAACCCTACCAAGAAAACTTCCTTATTTCACATCGGTGGTAGGATTTCGAATGTCGATTTTCAAGGCATACAGTACCTTCCGACCTGGATGATTGGCGCAGTACAATCTTTCTACTCCTATTTCTCACTAATTTAATTTGTGTTGTATTTTGCTAAGCTTATATATGCAGTCTCCGTGTTCCTCCATAAATTACAAGGCCAACTTAATAAATAAATAAATCCTCACTAACAATCATGGTTCTCCATATTTTCCTTTTCTTTAATATGTTTAAACTGTTGCTATGAATTAATGAATTTAGAGTTGTCCTTTTCCTAGATTGTTTGCCAACCAAAGCTTAGAAAAGAAGCTCTGTTACTGTTAACTATAGCTATGGATAAAAGAGATAAAGTCGTGATTTTCATCAGGCATTGTTAGTGTGAATCGAACATCTTCAGTCGCAATTTGAAACCCGGTCTTCCGATTTCATTTACCGCGCCGATAACTGTTACAACCCCGACATCTATATAAATAAAGCGCAGTGCGCGTATGTCCGTCCGTTCGTCCGTTTGTTGATCCCGGCGAATAATAAACAACCTGAAGTAACAGGTCGTAACTACGCGATTAAAAATTAAATAAATAACTCATTTAAAGTTAAATTTAAATATCGAACAGAATTCTTTATTAAAGTTTTAACTTTAATTTCGCTTTTCGCCGCAATTAAAATTGATATCGTCGAATTAAATTTTCATCCGCGTCCTGAGTAAGACGTTAAACTACATCCAGCAGCAAGGCCTCTGACCAGGAGGTTTTGAGGAGCGTGGAACCATCTCTTAATTGATGATGTTCCCAGGTCCACCCTGACTCGGGGTGGTAGCACCTGTTAGGGTCCCAGCTATGGGCAAATAGTTAACTATTACCAGCAATACTTTTTTGAAAAACATTAATACCAACAATACAATTTTGAAGGAAATATATTACCAGAAACAGATTTTTGACAAAACAAAATATTAACAGCAATAAAAATTGTGTGGGCAATAAATTATGCCGTAAAACAAAATAAACCAAACCAATCTAAACCAAAGAATACATATTCTATTCATACGAATCTATCCTAAAAATGTTGTCAGCATTAAATAACCCATTGAGGTTGATATGCCGTAAAACAAAATAAACCAAACTAATCTAAATCAAAGAATACATTTTTTATTCATACGAATCTGACCTAAAAATATTGTCGGCATTAAATAACCCATTGAGGTTGATATGCCGTAAAACAAAATAAACCAAACCAATCTAAACCAAAGAATACGTATTCTATTCATACGAATCTATCCTAAAAATGTTGTCGGCATTAAATAACCCATTGAGGTTGATATGCTGTAAAACAAAATAAACCAAACCAATCTAAACCAAAGAATGCATTCTATTCATACGAAACTATCCTAAAAATTTTGTCGGCATTAAATAACCCATTGAGGTTGATATGCCGTAAAACAAAATAAACCAAACCAATCTAAACCAAAGAATACATATTCTATTCATACGAATCTATCCTAAAAATATTGTCGGCATTAAATAACTCATTGAGGTTGATATGCCGTAAAACAAAATAAACCAAACCAAACTAATTAAAATTTAAGCGGTGCAAGGTAAATTGCTCATATTTGTTTCTTTCTTTTTCTATCACGCGTACTGTGACGTATTCGAAATATTGCATAGTTCGTGTTCCCTAATGTCTTTTAAGAGTGATTTTAGGTGAAGGAATCATAAAGAATGGGGATTTTTAAAAGAAAATAAAAACTGCGTGCAGTATAAACTACGGAGATCGGTTGCGTATACGAAGAAAGATTATGCCGAATTAATGTGTCGGATAAAGATAAAATAATTTTATTATTTCTAAATTCTTATAACTTTTACGTGCACAGGAGGCTGAAGGGGAAAAAAACCAAAGGAGGAGCTGGTTTAAAGTCTGCCCGAAACGCGGCTTATATGCTAGTATCCAAGAAAAGAAAAAAATATAAAAATTTTGACGTGTGAATCTGAGCCAGCAAAGGTCAATACGGCAACACACACACACACACACACACACACACACACACACACACTGATAAGAAGACGTTCACTAACTTTGAAATAGATTAGCCGTTTGGTCATGTGACAGGAAGTAGATAGTAAAATTACTTCTTCTCTTTCAGTCGCTGATTCAGCACCCGTGGCAGTCGCTACGACTTTAGTATGCCTCGGTCTCGCCCTGCTATTGATCGTCATTATCATCTACTTGGGACTGAATCATTAGGGAAGGTAACTCTGCTTAGATTTAAACCCTTCTTGTGTGCGCGTGTGTGATCGCATGAACAAACAGGATCCTTCTGTCCTATGTAACAGTGAATGTTGCACGATCTTTTCAAAGATGAAGACACAATAGAGATGTGATTCCACAGGGGGATGCTGAGGATGCCATGGACCGAACATATGAGCAACGATGAGATTTTAGAGAAAATGATAACGAAAAGGAAACTTATACTTAACATCAGGAAGAGTCAGCTGAAATTTCTGGGGCACATAATGAGGAAGGAGGGCTTGGAAAATCTGATACTCAAAGGACAAATTAGCGGAAAGAGGGGCAGAGGAAAGCAGTACTTAACATATTTGATGGACTCGAGTAAATCGATTGTAGAATAGGGTTTGGGAGAAATAGTTAAAAGTTTAAGTGTTACAAGGAACAGGAAGATGTGAAGAGCCAAGATCACCTACGGTCTGAAGGGACACGGCACATGAAGAAGAAGAAGAAGAAGAAGAAGAAGAAGAAGAAGAAGAAGAAGAAGAAGAAGAATCTTTAAGTTTCCAATTCATTGTCTTGCAGGCACTTGTCTCTTTAATATCTTTAATAATAATAATAATAATAATCATAACTGAAAACTTAAAACAACGAGTATCGCTATTGTGATAGGGGTGCATTGGGTATGACACCTAAGAGGGACAAAATATTCTTTTATCAAGAAGAATCAAAAACTTGCAAAGGACCTACTGTAGAAAGATGAGTGGGGGAGTAGCTTAGTATACCAACAGATGATACATGCAAGCGGGGATGCAGGCAGACATTTCTAGACGGGGTGCGAGTATACAGGGGGTACGGTTATACAATTTCAGCCATGCAAACAAGGGCAACGTCGGGTACCTTGGCTAGCATATTTTATAAAATACAATTTTTCCGAACTGCCAATACCTCCAGATCAAACAATTTGAAATAATAATAATAATAATAATAAGCAACTTCTACGGAAAGGAAGCTGAAAGAAATTGGTATGAACACCGCCCAGACCCGGTTACGGAGATAGGACCTGTTACAATTCTATGCGACTACACAATACACACTGACAGAACAATCAAAGCCAACCGCCCAGACATTGTTATTAAAGATCACAAACAAAAAAAAGTGCCTCCTTATTGATATGGCAGTCCCCGCAGACTGCAATGTATCTTTGAAGCTTTCAAAAAGCTGTCAAAATACAAGGACCTTGAAATCGAAATCTCAAAAATGAGGCACATGGGAACATCAACTATCCCTGTTGTAGTTGGATCCCTCGGATTAATTGGAAAAAGATTCCAGTAGACTAATTGAAAGGATTCCTGGAAACCAATGCCTTAAAGAAATACAAAAAAATTGTTCTCACGACTACAGCCCACACCTTACGAAGGGCTTTATCTACGTAAAATATATTTTTTTTGTATCAGTGGAAAATGTCATGATGCCATTTCTAACCTTAGGTCTTGTGGTTTCTTTGCATATTGTTTCAACAAAAGGAATTTATTTGCAAAAAAAAAAGAAAAAAAAAAAAGAAGTAAAACAGATGATAAATAAATAGTACGTAAGTTATCCCCATGTTAATTTCCCTCTGAAAGTACAGTAGTTATATTGCAGTGTCGAACACGTCGGCGGTCCGAGATCGGTAAACGCTAGTGGCACGCCACCCAGTAGCAGATTGGTGGCTTGCGTATAGGGACATTCTTCCCTGCTGTTTAACTCATGGTTGTGGAAGAATAAAAGGATACATGATTTTCCCCAAGAGTATTTGTGCAAAAAGTGAAGGTAACTAACTCGGTTTGAATTTGAACTCGGCACGCTGATTCGGCTTTCTCTGTCAATAACCGCTTCATCACTTATAAATGGTGTTGAAAAATTGTTTTTTGTATTTTCTTCGTCTTCTTTCTGGCAGCATGTTTCAAAAAGACTTCCTTCTTGTCATTCGCGGTACATAATTATAATTAGTATCAACTAATCTGGCGAGGTTTTTTCCCTGGTGACCCAAATACATTGATTTACTTGATTGCTTACTAGATTGGTATGTAGGTTCCAAGCAAATGCAACCGACAATGAGGTATGGCCGTAAATATCACAAACGTATTACTAATGTAAATAAATTGCTTGACTGATTTCAAGAACATTTCTTTCTCATGACTTAATTTACAGTAATGCCTATTTTCCAGAAGTAAAACTACACAGCTTTCTATTTACATTATTCGGACTATTATCCTCATCTTTGTCGCCATATTTGTTACAACGTTTCGGTCGTTATACGCTCCGACCTTCTTCAGGTGGTTGGAATGTCAAACTGAACCCTTTATTTCGCTCCACTGTGCCATGTGTCCTTACCATGTATCCTCAAGGACACATGGCACAGTGGATAAAGGCGTTGGCTAGATGCACTGACGGGACTCAAAGAGTGAGTTCAAGACCCGGTTA